GATCAAATAATTATTTGATAATGCTACACTTTTTATATTACAAAGGACAAACTTTTATATATTTTACAAATTACAAATGTTCACCTTTATTACATGTTTCCTGCAATTTTCAGTATGTACAAAACAAAATTCTCTACAATTCACATTTTGCTGCCAATAAATCAGTAAATGCACTTTAAGGCAAGTGTGTTTAAAATTATCAGTGCTAAGTTTTTATATCTTTTATATGAGGCTTTGTTAAAATTATCATATCGTCATATCGTGATACATACCAACAAAAATCGTGATACATGCTGAGGCCCATATTGCCCAACCCTACTTTGATATAGTGTTTTTAATTTGGATTTTACCTCTGTTTACATCTTATCTTTTATGCCATTAAAAATCATTGTTAAAGTTGTTTTGCTATTCTTCACAAAGCATTGAGACAGTTCTCACTGGTTTGTTGATCCAGAAGATGTCAGCGCTGTCTGCCAGTGTCTCATCGGGCCCGAAGTCGGTCATGGGCTGGGCCTCGACCCGAGAGCTCTGCTTCCTCTTCAGCATGCTGGGGCTTGCTGTGCTATACAGAGAGTGGATCTGACAGACACAGGGAGCAAGACCATGCAGTGACTAACGCTACATGAAAAACAGGGATACATTCTGGCACCATCCAAGTCTGGGCATTCAAGGGAAATTTGTATTTATTAAAATAAATATATTTCTGGATCAAATAGTAAATTTGTAAAGAATTTATGATCAAATCTAGCTAATTTACAGATATTACCATACCCAAACTTAAATAGGCAGAAAAACGGTCTGTAAAACTGTTCGCAGTAGTACATGACATAGCACACATGGGACACAGGACACTGTATTCACATTGGAGAGACTTACCATTTCAGATCAAACTAATTGAACACCAAGCCACAAGAAGTGTACACTGTACTATTGTACAGTGTGACGAATGTGAATTGGTGCCCTTGTCATAAACAGTGTTTCAGTGCATTTGTATGCAGAAAAAAAGAACAATGTAAAGGCTGTTTGAACTTAGGAACAGAAGAGAATGACAGTCTGAATGGAGACAAAGCGCACATACCAAAGGGAAAAGTAAAGCTGAAATTGCTCCAGCACTGCACATAACATGCGATCAGGCATACCCTGTAAATAACACACAACAGTTAGTCAACATTATGGCATCATGAAGAACAGTAACACTCTCCACATCTACAGTGTGCGCATAGAGACAGAATGCCCACCACATCTGACACCAAGGCATATATGCAACACACTTCATGAGTAAGGGATGGTGGAGGAGAAAAGGTGAAAGAGGAGGGGGCACTCACTGTGAGGCTCCTCATTGGTGCATTCATTCCCAGGTCACAGAGGGCGGAAAGACCAGCCAGAGAGAGACAAGAGATGCAAGAGATACACTGTCCTGAGGCCCGGAGAGCCTGCAGCAGCCGTGAGTAAACACCAGAGGAGATACACAAGGTGAGCCGTAATACAGCTACAGATCAGTCAAAATACATTAATATAGTTACTTGAACTCAAGATTTGAGAAAGCCTAGTGTTTCAGGGATCTAAAATGGACAAAAAGTAACTTTAAGAACAGTCAGCCATAAACAACAGTGAATTGAGTTAACAAGACTAAATTAAACTAACCAAGGCTTAAATGAAAAAATAATAATCTGACAAAACATAATAAAAAACATAAAAAAACATTAAAACTTTGCTATTTACCTTTGCTACCAGAAATTGCTCTTGAATGTATGAGGGATTACACAACAAATACATTTTGAACAAAACCTCTGAGAGTTTTGTTAAGAATTGATACAAGTAAGTAACACAAGGGCACAGTACAGTGTGTGAAAAACATGGAAAATATAATTGTATTAAAGTCTTTTGTAACTTTTACAACAATACATGGAATGATATTCTGCCGGAACACCAGCAGACAGACAAGGGAAGACATTGCATATAAATTCCCATGTAGTTAGAAGCAATTTTCCAGTGTAATTGCTACACTTATGCAGATGAAGACTTGAAGAAGACTGAAAACTAAATTGCAGGCTCTAAGTACATTATGTGGGAGTATAGGTGGCATAGGCTGCAATTACTTTCCCATTTGAAAAAGGACATGTTTTTCACAGGCAGAATACTACCACTGGGCACGTTAATTGTAACTGTTAGTATTTTCAAAGTCTTGGGAAACTAGGCCCCTTAACATAAACTTCCTCCTGAAGTTGATAGCAACGGGTTCAGAATAATTGTTCAGTATTTAACTATGCTCATTTCAGTATTTAACCATGTGTATGTGTGCATGCGTGCATGTGTGTTGCTCGAGTGTGTCTGTGTGCGTTGTATTATTAGTTAGTACATTACAGTGTCATACTGTAATGTGTTTTGTGTCTTGTATTGTAATGGGGCCGCAGAGAACGTTCATATTTTTAAGAGTAGGCTCAGGACACACCTTTTTAGAGTAGCTTTTGATAAGTATTTATTATTTATTATTGCTTTTTAGTACATATATTTATGTTTTTAGACATATTCTATTTTTATTTATTTTTTATTATTTACTATTTTTAATTATTTATTGTATCTACCCATTTACTATTGTTATTATCAATATTAGGCAGCTGCCATTTTTCTTTTTAGTGTCTCATTTTATTGTTCTACTTTCTATTGTATTATTGTATTGTTTTAGTGTCCCCAGTGTTTCCTCTGGAGGAGCCCTCTGCACTGGGAGCTGGGGTCTGCTGTGGCTTCGGGGGTCTGGCTCTTGGATCCGGTGGGGGTCTGGGGCCTCCTCTCTCCTCTGGGTCCTATGGGGTCTGAGTCCTGGGCCTGGTGGGGTCTGGGGCCCCTCTCTCCTCTGGGTCCTGTGTCGTTCCCTGTGGCTGCAGCCGGCTCTCTGCTCCTGGAGGGTTTAGGGCTGGGCATGTTGGATTGTTTTTAACTAAACTGTAGAGCACTTTGTGTTACACTTTTTGCATGAAAAGCGCTTTATAAATAAAATTTGATTGATTGATTGATATTGCAATGTATTGTATAGTGGTGTGCTGTCTTAGGTTGAATGGGTGAGGAGATTGGGATTTAATAAACGTTTGCTTCATCCAACCCCATTTAAATTCTTGTACTTGTATATTATTATTTTTGTTGATATGTAAGTGAAAAAATAAGGTTTCTAATAAATAATCTAATTAATATGAAAAAGACCCACAAAACATGATGTGTTTATAGTACCAACACAACATAACCAAAACATAACACTGCACTGTCTGCGTGTTTGGATTATGTGTTCAGCTATCAAATAAGACAATACATGTGGTTTTATGTATGAAAATTATAATGTATACATATCACGATTATGTAACTAGCTTCTGTTAATTATCAAGTTAACTGAATAAGTTGTGTCAGTTATTGGTTATAAAGCTAAACAGACAGACTATTGTTCAAATAAGATGATGATAGGAAGGTATATTTAATTATTTGTACCACTACTACTACTAGTAGTGTTAAATGTTTTAGCTGATAATATAATAATGGCCAAAGAGAACCACAATCACTTATGCTTCTAGCCAATATGAACCAGGCCAAAGTCAAATGAAAGGAGTAGGTTACTATGGAAACGGCTACGAGCTAAGATGCTACAATGGCTAAAAATAAGCTAACCACGAAAGGGGATATTCATTTATTTCTGCTTCATTAAATCGTTTTTTCAACTAACAACACATTTGACACACTGCGTGAAACAGAGCAGCTACAGCATCACAAATTGTTATCAAGGCCTGCACCAAAGGATGGGAACGTCTTTACTTCCTGGAGCAACATCGAACGCAGCAGCAGCAGCAAACCTCCAATGTCACCTGCGTCCGATTGGCACACGATGTCCTCGTGCAACAGTCGGTGTTAACGCAAAATGTAGATACAGGCATGTCACTTACGATTGTCGGGTGTATTTTACCGATCCAGTTTCTTCTTGCCCATAGCATCAGCTGTTTTCAGGTCTCGGGATTGAAATCGCGTAGTAGAGAGAGAGAGAGAGAGAGAGAGAGAGAGAGAGAGAGAGAGAGAGAGAGAGAGAGAGAGAGAGAGAGAGAGAGAGAGAGAGAGAGAGAGAGAGAGAGAGAGAGAGAGAGAGAGTGAGGGAGGGGGTGGGGGGACGTGCGGGAGCGCGCACGTGGCAATCACATCAACATCCCCGCGTGCGAGGGGAGCACGCGGTTACCATGGTGATAGTGAAAGCTGCCCTGCGCTAGAGTCCACAGGTCAAGAAATTCAATGCAAAGGATTAATTTAAGAGACAGGAATACGTCTCTCACATTTTGTTGTAAAACTGCACAAGTTTACAGGTTACTTGCACCGTATGGGCTGGCCACTTCACTTAAGACTACTGAGTTAGAGAGGTATGCTGTCTGGCCACTTGTCGTGAGGACACACGTGTAATAAGCTTTGAAGCTGCAGGTTAGGCAACACCTTTTTGTAAAAAGGTAGCATATCAAATGGTTTTATCTTACCTTGTTTTCTTGGTTTAGGATGCAAAACACATAATTTACTTCCTACTTACTTGTTATTTTGGAAATGGCATTGGGCAATAAAACCCAATCAGTATACGTTGTGTTTGTTGTCTGGTAAAGGTGCATTCATAAAAACTCCACTAAGACAGCACACTTTTTTGAACCCAAAAAAAAAAAAAAACATCTGGCAAACGCAACGAAGTCTGCTTCTAATTACACATGAAAAGATCATCTGAACTTTACTTTTCTTCATTTTTTTGTTGATGCTCCAGCCCAGACTGTGTCTGTGGAATAATCAAAGGCATTTGTATGGTGAGGACTGTTGGGCCAGCTCAGGCCAGCCTGCTGCTTTTCTTCTCTTTCTCTCCCCTCGCTCTCTCCATGCCTGGTGTCAGTTTAAGGAAAGAGGAAAATTCCTTCAAGCTACTTTGCCGAAGTTAGAGTTGGGATTTAAACATGCACTCAAGAGTTTTGATGCAGTTCATGCTTGTGCGGTTACTTATGATCCTGCTCTGTACTGTGGAGGACACTGTGTTACAATCGGTGAGGTGAGTTTTTGTCTTGCTTTTGTTTTTTCCCACTGTAGTCTAAGATAGACTACGTTAAGGGGAAGCACAGAGTTTTTTATGACATCTTGTACAAAAAACTGCAATGGGTGAGAAAGTGTGAAAATTTTGTGAAGCATGTATCTGTTACTTTCAGAAGTAAAAGTTAGAATAATAGCACAGCCTTTGGAGAACAGTTGACATCAAATGGTACTCACCATGAGCCAGAATGTCACACAGAAATGCAAACATATTTCAAAATGTCAAAATGTAGCCATTATTCCAACAATGTATAAAAATGCATAAAATAACAGCTGTTGGCATTTGAGGCAGACGCACCTGTTAGATATAGTATATAGTTTCATAACACAGATGCTATATCAGTGCTTTGTCAGCCCAACACGCTGACACTGAAAGATAAAACAGATTCACATGAACACTACCAGGAATCATTGGTAACACTGTTAAAATAACATAACTTTGTTTGTAACCTTTCTCTGAACACATTGGACTTTGTTATTATAATGGGAGCAGGCAACTTTGTCCATCACTTAAAAAGAGCAGCTGGTCTAAATTGCTAAAAGGTTGAAGAAAGTCAAAGAATGTTGAGGAGAATCCAAATATAACAAAGCCGTGTGAAAAACTACTTGAAGTGAAAATAAAAGTTTTCCACATCTGTTGGAGTAAATGTAATACTGTTCCATTAGTTAACCTAATCCTCAGTGCAAAGTGTTATGTTTCCATGGTGTTTGTTTTGTCCTCATACAGACGATTTAGATTTGCAGCCACTAAATACTATCCCATAAACTATCACTATTGCAAAATAAGTGCATAAATGAACGTTAAAAATATGATTATGGAATGTCGATATTAATTGACACATGTTATTTGTGAGGGAGTAATTACATTTGTAGCTAGCATTCACAGTGACCATATCTCATCTTGTTTATGTTTGTATAGTACTATATAGTAACATGTATAGTTAGAGAATGGTAGTAGTGTGGTGGTATACTACCAACTAACATGTAGTGGAGAAATTCCTTAAACCCAGATGTTCCAAAGCCACAGTTGACCCTTGACGTCAGCCCGCAGTGACCGTAAACCTCTGACCCTTTGTCTCTTGCAGCCAGGTGGGTGGAGGTGTGTGCCGGCTGTCCACAGAAGCATCCACTCGCCGCTGCCGCACGCCTGATTCCAAAGTGTGCAGTGGGAGAGGCACATGTGACTGTGGCATCTGCATCTGCCAAGCCACTGATCCAGGGAAGTTTTATGGGCCTCGCTGTGAATGCCATGACTGGGTCTGTGCCATACACGATGGGAAAACCTGTAATGGTGAGTAAGGGGATGACTATGTGGTGCCAAGCACACGCAAAACATAAACAGACTTTCATCAATATACAATAAACCGGATTGGCTTAACAAGCAGTTCAATTTTGTTTTAGTTAAACTAAACTAATTGGAAAGGTTGTACATTTTGCCAATTATTGGGTAATTTACTTTTTGTCACTATTCAAGAAAACAAGTCAAAATGATATAATCTTTCAGTTGAATGGTAACTGTTTTCTCCAGGATTCATTCCGAAACAATCAATAAATACTACATTCTGCCTGAGTTTATTCGCGCTGCTGTTTAGTACCAAGGAGTATGTACTAAGTTTTGTTTATACAATCTATTCTATACTGGAAAAGATATATTTTAGAGGACCAGGAGTATTCAAATGATTTCACCCCAAAGGTCAGATTTTTGGAAGCACGTAATATTTTGGCTGTTATGTAGACCTTCCAACACCATGTTAATTTGTCATTTTGACAAACTTTGCTCTGCACTTGCGAGCAAACTTTAATCAGAATGAATTGGTCACTCTTACAGTCTAAATCTTAAATGTACACATTTGTAATCTGAAATTTATACCTGGAATATTTTTTGTGTTTAATGTCCTGGTCACAGAACTATGAGCTATCAGGCCATGATGGAGACAGGTGTGCCTCGAACAAGTCTAATAGAGATATATGCGTATGGGGGTAGGTGTGCCGGCATGTGAGGCTGACTGATTTATTTGGGAAGACAAGTTGGCTGCTGTGAGGTGCTCATTATGGTTCAGCAGTCTGGAGAAAGACGGCCCTGCTCCGCTCTGATAATAGGGTTTCACTCACTGCTGCACTGGCTGTGATTCCATAGAGGCAGGAGTTTTCACACCAGGCCCAAGCTGGGCACACAAATCGATCTGTATCCATTTCAAACTGACACACACACACACACACACATACCAAAGCGTGCAATCAGAAGCTCACACTATTGGGGTTTAAAGCACATAAGGAAGAATACCCTCCTCTGGGGATATTCAATGGTCCGTACAGGATGCCGGGACTGCTGACTGAGATCAGCAGCCAATTTCTCGCCCTGAGGCTCCCTTATCTCCGTCTCTCACAACTGGCACCTGATAACATCAAAGCATTTTTTTATTTTTGAGGATAAACTGTGATTTTCTGCTATACTGGCACTAAAATCTGACCTATTGTGAATTTATTTTCACTTCTTTGTGCGAAGTGCAAACTGGTTGTAAATGTATGCATTATATATGTATATGTCCGACCGATTGACTCTTCACTCCGCCCATATTCTTAAAGCATAGAATAGTCTTGACTGGGACCTAGACCTTGACGGGCTCTATTAGAAATCTCTCCATTTGTCATCAATAAAGTTTTATCTTGTCTTATCTATTTCCGGTAGAAATAAATAAAATGAGAAAATGTACAAATAGTGAATTCATTCCTATGATTATGCACTATTATGGCTTTGTTTTTTTACTTTTTCCAAATATTCTGTGTTTTGACATGAACATTTAAAACATGTGAATTGAAAAACTGGATTAGGGATGTCAAAAATTATCATAAGAATTGATTAATCACACAATTATTCTTTCAATTAATTTTTCGTTTTTTAGAACACAAACATATTTTATTTCAATTCAAGCCAGATAAAGCCGAAATTAAGCCACGTATGTTTTGTCAATAAAGATGACACAATTCCTGATTATTTTTTTATGAAGTTGCTGCTCTATTTGAGTCCCAAAATCACATCTCACTGCTCATACATGTATTGAATTCTGCACATAGTTAACAGTTTACATTTGATATGGTGCACATATGGTTTTGGTTCCATACATCTGTATTTTCTCTAGCCTTGTACTTTCTTTCTTCTGAGCATTATCTTCCTCCTTTCCTCTGACTTTTTGGTTGTGTTTTATTGTCTGTTTAACCTAACATTTCTTGAGTATTTTCATTCTTTACCAAAGTAACTGTCAATGCATAGAGCTAGATTTAAGTCAGTATTCTGTATTCTTCATTCTTTATGGATAATATCTGGCAGTATTTTACAAAACTTCAAGCATATTTGAGTGACAAGTTATCAGAACAATTCAATTTGAAGCTCAATTACAATCCTACAGTATGTATGAGGCCCTGGTGAGTCCCAAGGCTCAGAGTAAAGCCATAAACATTAGCATTACCTCTACTTTTGACTTGATCCAAGACAAAGGCAGAAAACTAAAGCCTTTGGGACCCTGTTGTTTATACGTATTTACTTTGCATTTCTTTTGAGGTCAGAAGAATAGTACAGAATGGCTGTGTTATTACAATCATTATACAGTTGACCTTCATATTTTCTTCTACAACTTTTGATGCACCTTTGGTTCAATATTGGGGGTGCTGGGCAGTGTGGCTATGAGTCACATAATGATTCCAGTGTGGGCTGCAAAATAGAAAAAGCCACTTTAGTCTGTCCAACTCTGCTACTCGCGGCTGTTTGGATTGGCCAATTACAGCTTCCAAAGGCTGCTTGCTGAAAAGTACATTGCTGTGATCAATGCTGGAGTGGCTTAAAACCTTCCTCTGAGATATAAGCAGGATATGAGAGACTCACTAAAGTAGACAGGCAAGATAAGAAAATGTAAAAGCCAAAGGATGAAAGCGGCGGGCTCTCATTCAGGGGCCACACAAACAGAGAATGCTTTATTACCTGAGACAGGTGTCTCTGTGATATTTCCCACTGAACAGGGGCTGACACGCTGTTGTTTCACGCACCGTGGCCCACAGGGAGAGGAGACACAGCCAAATAATTACCTGCTGAAATGAGCAATTGTGTTGTGGAGAACATGATCCACACGGAGTGAGGAAATGTCAATTGAACAAGCCGTACAGCCAGGAAACTAATGATTTAAATATATATATATATATATATATACGTCCTGTATATTGCTGTTAATTAAAACAAAGATAAAAGACATTTTAATCTGGAAAGACTTGAGACGAAGATTATTTTAGAATATTTATTGTCAAGATGCATGAATAGACACCAGCATACATAGATGGAGTACTATTATTTATTGCATATGACCATGAAATGTTCATAAGGTTGGCAATTAGACCCTGGCAGGAATACTGCATGACGTATGCAGAAGGGAGTTTAATTGCAATTATGAGCATCCGACCCCCGGGGCTTAGAACCTGGTGGCGACGAAGCTGAGCTGAAGCCATAACATGATACACCTCTGAAGAGACGGTGATGGGGAGGAGGTATGTTGCTGCTCGAACAGCAGCTTGAGCTCAGGCGCAGGAGTGTAGAGAGAGAAGTTCAGTGTGGCAGGCATGACGTCTCTTTGGTCTTCCAGTTTGATTTTGCGCTTAAGCTTAATTTCAACTCTAATGATAAATTAAGGTACCTAATTATAAAATGACTGGGAACATTTTTAAACAACATTGAATAGAATAGACATTTAATTTTTTCATTTTCAGGTATATTACAACTGTATGTCTTTGACTTTAAATTAACACAGATTGACCCGCATAGATCCGACCTAAAAAACATATCGGTCTACATGCCAAAACCACAAACACAAAATGGTAGAGATTTGGCAGACTGGGCCACAGCCTTGACCCCAGCTGTGGCTATCAGTGGCTATGCTACTTATGCCGACTGAGAGGCTAACACTAGCTCCTCCAAGCCAGATCACAAACTTTTCCGAGCTGTGAACCAAAGATCTATTAAAGAGTATTTACACAGCTGTTGCAGAGGAGGGAAAGCGTACTCAACACTTCATGAAAGAGTCATTTGACAAGTTAAAGATTACAGTAGATGGTAAACTAAATAGCATTAAGATTAAGAGATCCTTTATTCGTCCCACAGTGGGGAAATTTCAGTGTTGCATCAGAAGTTACAAAATAAATGAACAATAGCTATATTAATTAAAATTAAATACAATCTCTAACTGTAGCAACAAAGAAACAAGTACATGTTAGCAGCAGTATGTTTACATCTGTACATTAGCAGCAGTATGTTTACATCTGTACATTAGCAGCAGTATGTTTACATCTGTACATTAGCAGCAGTATGTTTACATCTGTACATTAGCAGGAGTATGTTTACATCTGTACATTAGCAGCAGTATGTTTACATCTGTACATTAGCAGCAGTATGTTTACATCTGTACATTAGCAGGAGTATGTTCACATCTGTACATTAGCAGCAGTATGTTTACATCTGTACATTAGCAGCAGTATGTTTACATCTGTACATTAGCAGCAGTATGTTTACATCTGTACATTAGCAGCAGTATGTTTACATCTGTACATTTGCAGCAGTATGTTTACATCTGTACACTAGCAGCATGAGGCTCTGGGACACAGTAATTCAGTAAAGTGACGGTGACACATGTGGTTATTGCACATTCTGATATTAGTTAAGGATATTGCACCGAGATGGTTGACATGACAGTAGGTCCCATTCCGTTTTGTCGCCTTTCACGCGTGAATCACACGTGAGTCTCGTGTGATTCACGCGTCTTTTATTTTCCCCCCTCCCAGTGACGTTGCAATGACCAAAACAACCACCAGGTGGCACTTGTGAGCAGGGTTACATTGGCCAGTCTCTGGAATAACCCGCAGACATTAAAACTACTGCACACTGAGAAAAGTGTTGCAAGCGCAACTTTGAACCTAAGTACTTGTATTTGCAATTTCGGACTTAAAATGTATTCTTATGGTTTTAATATTAGAAAAATAATTTCCATTTACTAAAACAAAAACAATATACCCACAAATACGTTTTGTGTGTGTATTTAACTAAATTTTGAAAAAATATTGTTGGCAGTGCAGTGCTTCTTAAATCTGACTGTTAAAAAGGCTGCCTTAGAGACTGTCACGCTGGCCCTTTAAGGGGGCGGAGCTTGGACCACCGGAGACCTGCGTGCGCCCTGCATGCACAGAGCGAGAGAGAGGAGTGGAGCGAGCACATCTTACTTTGCCGTGTCTGAGTGTTTTCATAAGTTTAAGTTAAAGTTTGCAGTAGTTTGTGTGTTTAAGTCAAAGGTGTGCGTTATAAAAGTAAGTACTGTGTATGGAAATGTTTAGTTAAGTGTAGTTTCATAGTTATCAGTGTTTTTACTGCTAATTGATGCATGCGCCCATCACATGGCCATCACGTGGCTCCTCTGTTTAGAGCGATGAGCGCGGCGCTGCACTATTACATGTTTGTAGATGTGGATGTAATATGTTAGTGTGAGTTTGTTAGTCTTTCCACTAATATATAATTATTGTATAGTAAGTTCAGTGTGTTATAGTGAAGATGTGAATATAATTTAGATACTGTATTAAGAGATGTAGCCAATTATCTAATATTATGTTTATTGTTTCTGTTTTAGGACCACACACACACACATACCCACCCACACACATCCATACGCTCAAGCTTCAATAAATCATCATATTCAACTCCCTGACTCATCATTGGGTTCTAACCGACCCACCACAGTGTTCTGGACATTCCATTCAGCATCAGTACAGTCACTCTCCTTTTCACTGACGCTATCAATAAGTGTTCAGACAAAGTAATTTCTACTGGGCGGGAGTTTGCTTCCGGTTCGGACCGTTTCCGCGAGCTTGTTGTTGGTGATGGGCGCTGAGCCAGCCTTGGACACGGTCGTGTGGTTTCCCGTGAGATCCAACTCAAAGTAAGATTTTTTAAATATATGGTGCTTTCTCTGTAAGGTTTGTCGCGTATTTGATCAAATATATACAATCTGTGGTCAAATCGTCGTTTTATTTTCTTGGCAGTTCGTGTCCAAAATTACTTCATGTTAACTGTCTACTCTAGCCCCAAACATGTTGTTAGCATAAAACTGTGCCAGTATAATGGTCCTACAATTTCGTTGTTTAGCAAAGTGATTTGTGTTAAGACTCGTAACATTACCAACAACCCCTTAAATGTTCTGAACCATAATAACAGGCGTAGTTTTCGCAGTTTGGAGCTGCTAGCTTCTAGCTAGCTGTTGCTAACGGTACGCAGCTAACATAAGTAGACCAAAGTCGCTACTGTCCTGCTCTGTCTTGTTGCCGGAGGTGCAAGTGGAAAATACAGTTGGCAACAGAAGCCACGTGACATTTATTAATCTTCTATTATTTTCTACTCTTGGGGACAGTTCATTTCCCCGCAGAAGTCCCTAGTTACATTAGCTCAGCGGAGCGACTCTCAAGGAGGAGACAGGTGCAGAGCATGGTGCGGAGGCAGAAAACATGTTTATTGCTATCTGAGATCGCTCTGATTTCCTCGCGGTCAGAAAGTAGCTTGTTTCAGCAGAAAACTAACGTTAAGTTAACAGCTACTGCATGTTGTTAATGTTATGACCCGTCCGCATCAGCATCACTGTATTATATCAAGGCCTGTCTGTTTTAGCCAATGTGCAGCTATATGGTTAGTTATGATAAGTTCAAATAAATTCAGAAATCTGCAGCACATTTAAAAAACCCAAACAAAGTATAAGTGATACATTATAAACATGCATTTTTAAAAGAACATACGGAGGGTGACTGCTATAGCCTATTGCAGTCACAAAATTAGAGTGGAAATGTTAAAAATCTAATGTGACTTACATTCGCATTTCATATGAACAACATTTTGGCATGTTAATTTTGAAATAAACGATATTTTGCTGGACAAGTAGGTTTTGTTTCCGGGCAAGTAAAAAATACCTGCCACTTCAAGTACCTCAAAGCACTTAATGTCAAGTCCTGACAAGGTAATACATTCAGCTAAAGACAGGTACATGTTGTGGTATAGCATGTTTTTTGTGGAATCACGTGTAGTAACGCAAAATGCACAAAGCACTTTGTTTGTACTAATCTAATGCATTTTTTATATGTAAAAAGCAGCACCGCCTGTTTAAATGCTTATGATATTTGTCCAATGAAGAGTATTTTTAAGCATGTTTATTAATTTTATTTTATTTTAGATTTTTCCTTTCACTGCTGCCAATTGATGGAGGAAAGCTACAGCAGGAGGTAAGTGTGATACAAAAAGAACTGTTAATAAATTAAGTGAATGTAATGTACTCGCTAGGGATGCAATAGTTTTTTGGGGGGGGGGCATTATACATTATACATTACACTCACCGCAAGATTTGCGGTGAGTCCTTGGCAACAAGAGAGGAGATTTTCCATCATTTGTCATTATATACGTTTTTATATCTAAATGAACACAATCAGAAATATGAAAACATATTCAAGATAAGAAGTGCTGAATACTTCCTAATTCGTGGTGTTTTTTATTTCTATGTTGTTTCGTAGGATCCAACCGCTGCTATAGAAAAGAGGAGGGAAGTCGTAATCCGAGGCCTAATTGAATACATGGGGGAGAAGCCAGGAGACTTGATTTCAGATCTACAGGTAAAATTTCCAATCTTTTCTTTTTCAGGGTATAAAAAAAGTACCGTACCTTATGCTGATATGTCTATCATTAAGAGTAGTAGTATCACCAAATCCTCTTCATCCTCTGCATATGCTAAAAGTCAGCATATGCAGATTATTTAAAAAACATTTTGGTCTCATTTGACCATAGAATAATCTACAATCATGTAGAAAAGGTTAAATCATCTACTGGACTGGGTTTTGGTAAAGTTGAGGATGTTTCGCTTTTAGTGACACAAGCTTCTTCAGAGCTCTTAAAGTCATAAAAGAACACTTACCCAAACTGGACTAAAAACTAAAAAGACCCAGGTTCCTTCCAGAAGGAGAGAACCAAAACTGCCAAAAATGTCTATTCAAATTGTTTTCAATATCACTCAACTTTACCAAAACCCAGTCCTGGCGATGATTTAACCTTTTTATAAGATGGACACTCCCTGGATGAATGAGAGCCTTCACAAACATCTGACCATATGACATTCCCCCAGCCCTCTGGATGGAATGGTCACTGGAAAACTTCAGTTGGACATGAATGAACATGAGCTGGCTAAAGCAGCTGGACCTGTATGGTATGAATTAAAGGTGCACCGATCTGATCTGTCACCAATCATGATTGGTCGATCACGGCCTAATTTTTGTGATCGGTGATTGGTGAAATGCGCCGATCAGAGGGGCCGATCAAACGTAGATTTCAGACTTTCTTACAGTAGATAATCTGGTGAAAACTCCACAGTATAGCGCCGCTCTAAACCGAGTTTTAAATGTAATTCGTGGCTACAAAACCGCTCTGGATGAAATGCTCGGCTGTATCCCTCTGCGCATGTCGGCTCTCCTCTTTCCAGACTGCAGTGTAACTAAACAAAACAATGATGAAGCTTGAGCTAACCCGCTATCGCTATGCTTTAAGACAAAAACATGAGTTTGTGACAATAAAATATCAGCGTCTGGTACTTCTAATAGTAGGTAAAGGAGATGATTTGCCATGTACCATTATTTACATTTGCAACTACCGCATGACTTCACATGCGCGCTCCGTAAGTGATACCACAGGATATTTAACACAAAACTGTGCTATCTGAAACGCACGTGAAACTACAATCAGAGGCAGGGGTCATTGTCCTGTCTTATTTTGCTCTTTAGTACTCACTAAATGGCAGCTCGTCAAAAGGGAAAGTATGTGCGTATGTGTTTGGCACCTCATGTCGCCGTCTCCTTGTGGAAGTTCTTTTCTTTCTTCAAATATTGTCTAATGTTACTGTCAAACTAATTTAGGCAGAAATGTGAGAAATTCCACACAGTGTGCTCACTTTTTCTAAACATTAATTGAACAAACAATATATATTTGTACCGTCAAATAATTCCTGCAACATTATAACATACATAATGGCTGAATTTATGTGTTGTATCAAATATATTTAAGCTGTTACTGATGCATTTAGACACAAATTATGTAATTTAGTGACAAATCTCAAAATTAAACAGATATAATCGACTTGAAAATGTCTGCACAGCTCATCAGCCGTCAGTTTCTCTGAATAGGTTGCGTTCACGTTTTAGAATGTGATGATGGGCAGTTGTCAATACAACTCTATGGGAGAAATACAGTTTTTGTACGAACTCTCAAACAAAAATTGACAAATGTTTTTCCTCTTCAGTATTTGACAGTGATTAGATTTACTAACCCACTTTATTATTTGTATGGCTGAAAGTCCTTTCTACTGACCAACATCACGCTCATCATTTCAAAAATTGTCATTGGTTTATAATATAAACCAATGACAATTTTTGAAATCATTATGTGCTGAAAGAGGAGTCAATGAACTTTGAGACAGTTTTTTTCATGTGGATTCTCCTAGTAATGATCTCAGTCAATACTAGGAGTACTACTACTCATTAACCAAAAACTAAGACAAAAAATATGCAGTTTGCCAGTTACCATAGTTAACGCCATGGAATTTTCACTTGCCCTCCACCTCAGTTTTAAATGAACACGTGAACACAACCTATTGCATTGACTATCAAAACATATCAATGTCTAATGTATTTTTCCCTCTCAAATAGAGTCTGGAGGAAACTGAAGACACTCGGCAGAATATCGCCTATCCAGTGAAGATTGTCAAAGTTGGTGACACGTACGAGATCAGCATTGATGGCCTTCAATGCATTACAGGTTTGGGCACTGTAGCCAAGGCCTCCTGTATTCTTGTTGGCGTTATATACGCATTGGACTTGAAATACCCACCCAAGCTTCAGCACACATTTGAAACTTTTCAGAGATTACTGATTGGTATCAGTCCTGTGAAACCAAGAGCATCTGTGAGATACAGTTCACTCCTTAAAAAGCTGTCTTAAAGTTTGAATTAAGGAATCCTCACTTTTGACCCTGTTCTAACATTGTTCAAATATAAAAAGTGTTTGAAAATTCAAAATGGTGAGTTATAGAGGCTTAGAAGCACAATGTATCAGTTTTGTGAACTGCAACTGCATGTTTGTGTGTTGCAGCAGACACCTTTGTAATTCCCTCTGCAGTAGATGTAGCCATTTTTTTTTTTTTGTCCTAGGGATGTGGATTGTTCATTTGGGAATTATCTGTTCACTCACTATGATTTAGTAATTTTACACATTGTGTAGGACAGGGGTTCTGAAACTTTTAAAGGCAGGAAAACAAAATCAAAATTTGGATGAAAATATTCATTTCACATTGCCCTTTTTATTGGTAGTTGTTTCCTTTTTAAAATATTGTATATCACAAGGAATTGTTTTATATATATTATATATATTTATATGTATTTGATCAGACTCCCTCTAAATACAACTTCAGAATTTGAATGAGACGTAAACGACTAGAACATGATTAAAACCAAAGTCCTTCAAGAAAGTTTTTAGAAATCTTTAAAAAAAATGTCTACTCATCTTTTTACTTTTTTTGTTGTTAAAACTGGAGTGGTAAGGAAAAATGGTACAGAGTTCTGTTGGAAGATAAATATTAATGTTTCAAAATGTAATATTGAATATATAGTTACATTTAAGTGTACATATTGAAAAATAAATGTTGACGTGGAAAAGCTTTAAAAGGTTTTATTTTTTCAGAACACAAGCATATTGGTATAAATGTTTATTTTAAAGTCATGTAATTTTTTATCAGAGCTAGTAAGTAAGTAAGTTTTTATTTATATACCGCCTTTTCACTGCAGATCTGAGTCTCAAAGCGGTTTACAATTGTTAATTTTGGGCATTTGTCTCTCACTCCACACAGAGATGGGAGCAGGGTCGCCAGTACAGGAGGCGCATGCTAGAACTATTGGACATATTTTTAGTGGTAGGGGAAACCGGAGTGCCCGGAGGAAACCTACGCAGACACGGGGAGAACATGCAAACTCCACTCAGAAAGGCCCTGGTCCGACCGGGATTCGAACCCAGGACCTTCTTGCTGAGAGGCGAGAGTGCTATCCACTCAGCCACCGTGCCACCGTTCAAGAGCTGACATTCTTGAAAATGTTTTATGAGTTTTCTGAGTTTTTTGAAGTACCGAGTTTAAGTATTGAGTTATGATGTTATGTTGCCGTTTATCGATCCTGATGGTCACACGTGAATGTGTGACCAGAGGGGGGGAATGTGAGATTTCATAACACTTTTAAGCAACTTTTGTTAAAGTTAAACTCATCATTCTATCAATGTGCAGAAGCCTGTACTTTTCCACTTCATGTTTTGTCTATCTGAAGGCCAAGCTACAAGTACAACGTGGAAGCTGCTGATTGGAGGTCTCCATGCCTCCGCTCTGTATAATACACTTGCATTCTGTTGTATCTGTTGTTCGTGCTGTCTCTACCATCGACAATAAAACATGTCTTCTGTCTGAATTTAAGACGCGATCCCAGACTTGGCACATCTTCTTCAGGTGGTGGAAGGATGCGGGCCTTGTCTGTAACATCTAGAGAACAGAAGACATTTGCATGTCAAATGAGGTGATGACCGAAACAACAGGGGGCTAGGGTGGGCTTTGTTTATTCGTCTGGGGGAGGAAGGCCCAGTCCCAATACCCACACTGCACCCTACGCCCTCCTATGAAGTGTGCATTTGTTTGAAGTGCGCGCAAGGGTTTGAGTGCGCAGGTTACAAGCAGGCCCGTCCCAAGGGGGGTGCGAGGCCCTGTGCGAACTCGAAACGCGAGGCCCTGCCCTGACACTTTTTTCCCAGATCTGAGGAAAGTTTTTCCTGTTATAATCTTTGACATGAATTCAGCACCACCTCGCGCGGTGCTTGACGAGATCAGCACGCGTGTAACCGAGTGTCTTCGCTCCTATGCAGCGTTTGGCGCGCGCACGTACACACGCACACACACTCTACGTGCAATATTGGTCGCGGTCTTTTTAGCTGACATGTCTCTTTCGTCCTGTGGCAAAATGGCAGAGCAACTCAAAAGATTGAACCAAAAGGAGTCTTTTTCTTCTAATAGTTAGATTTGGGCAAAATGCGCCAAAATGGCTATGAGGCGGAGTCAATATTATTATTTTCTCATCAAATAACGTTTTTGCCATGCCTCCACACACTCTGACAACATACACTCCTCCTCCTCCACACTGACAACAACAAAATACTCTTCACCTCCTCCTCCACACACTCTGACCACAACAAAAACACTCCAGCTAGCTAAAGCTAGACATACAGTGTGTTTGCTAATGCTTTTAAAAATATGTTTTTGATGTGGATATTCGGACTAAACATTGGCAATAGCAGCGCTCACACACCTGTCACACCGCTGATCATCCTCCTCCTCCTCCTCTGCTCACACAAAGGGGTCTGCTCCTCTGCTCACACCTGTATCACTGCTCCTCCTCCTCCTCCTCCTCCTCCTCCTCCTCCTCCTCCTCTGCTCACACAAAGGGGTCTGCTCCTCTGCTCACACTTGTCTCACTGCTCCTCCTCCGCGAGTATCCATCTCTCCTACACTGCGATCATTCCCGTTACTTTCTTTGTATCTCACTCAGACACTGCTAAAGTTATCTGACAGTTTTTTCGGAGGACCCGTTGCATACATAGCTGCCCGCGCGCCTGCCTGTTTACAAATCGCTTTTGGTGAAAATTTGACTTTACTTGTAAAAATGTTCTTTTGATCAAACGAAATCAAAGAGGTCCAGAGAAAGGGGTTTAGGGTTCCAAATTTGGAGTGCAGTCTGCCCTTTGGGGACCCTTGAACTAGTGTATTTATAAAATAAAATAAAAGGAAGGAAGATTGCGAGGCCCCTGTGTGGTGCGAGGCCCTGTGCGACGGCACAGGTCGCACAGCCCTTAGGACGGGCCTGGTTACAAGTGTGCACAAAAGGCGGAATTGGGACAGTGCACACTGAGTGCAGGTTACGTCATCGACTCGTCAAGAGATGGTCATTTTCAGATCTAAACTTTATACAAATTAAAGGTAATTTTGTCTGATCCTTTGGGAAACTAAATGAATTGCTTCACACACGTTAAAATACATGTATATTAGTGGTTTCTAATTAGAGATAGCTGTATAATTTTAAGTTAAATGTGGGTAACTAACTGTTATCTGGTCAGTTTTTATACATTCTAAGATTATTGTACTAAGTGTAAAGTTTAAATTGAATGTTATATAAACGCTTGGTTTAAAAAGTTATTAAATTGTTAAAACACAATGTCCGTAATTCTTCATCAGACGTTTATGCTTCTTTCCAAGTAACATTGCAAAACTTATTTACACACATACTGCATATATATTTCAAAATGTATATTTAAATGCATTTTCCCGACGTTTTGGTGTGTACCGCAAAGAATTATGGGCAATATCCTTCGCCAGAGTGCGCATAGATGCAGGCTACGGCGAAGTGTGGATCAGGGGCGCAAAGGGGGCGGGGCCAAAGACCTCCCTGGAGAATTGGGACACCCTACGCACTCGCACACTTTATCGGGAACGCGCAAATGAGGGGCGCGAGGGTGGAAGTGCGAGTATTGGGACGGGGCCGAAGGGCTGCGAATGAGTGACTTCCAGACTGTGAACCCTGAGAATTAATATACTGTATATATTTTGTAATAACATTTTTAACACAGTATGTTTCATTCTGACTGAAGCACATGATAATGTTATAAAACAGTATGTTTCATTCTGACTGAAGCACATGATAATGTTATAAAACAGTATGTTTCATTCTGACTGAAGCTCATGATAATGTTATGTGATGTGAGAAATGCACTAAAGCCACTGGAGAAAAACTGTAACTATTCAGATCCTCCCCCTCCCCCTAAGATGGCAAAGTGAAGCTCAGCCTGCGATAACGGCCCTATTTACATAACAAAGTTGGCCGTTCACAGGTGATTTCGTTTGTTAGCTAAAATCCTTGGGGTCATTTGACACCGTGGAGGGGATGATAGGTATAAGTGCCAAATGACACCTCCATGCGAGTGCTAGTGTTAAAGCTGCTTTCAATATCTTTTCAAATCTGTTTTCCTTTTCTCCATAGCATGTCTGTAACAAAAGTTCTCATAATCTGAAGTCGGCGTATTTACATGGTTTTATGAAACAGAATTCTGAGAAAAACAGGTTTAAAGATCGACATTCCAAACATAATCATCACAGTCACATATAACATGTAAATTTTGAATTACTCTGTTATGGCACACTTGTTTTAGTCACTATGTTGTAGAAGATTAAAAAGATGTTACTTTGGCACCAATTAAACACACAACACTCATGAATTAGTCGAAAATCAAGAATGTATTGATTCTTTCAATATTCAATGGATTGAATTTTGACCTCCTCTTCTTTTTCTTTCTCTTTATAATTTACTGAAAATTAGATATGTATTAGACATTGCCAGTATTATTCTATCAAATCACGCAGTCTAAATATCCACAACCACCAAGCATTTTTAATGCAAGGAGAAACTTAGGTAACTTTAAACACAAATAAAACAAATGGACCTGTCCGACTCGAGTGTCTATGCTTCGTGTGTCTCTGGTTCTGTCCAGGTGTCTATGATCCGCGTGTCTCGCGTGTCTCCGCCTGTCTGGGTTCTGTCTGCGTATGTGTAAATGTAAATGTAAATGTCTGTCTGTGGTTCTGTTCGCGTGTCTATGGTCCGCGCCGTGAGCAGAGAGAGACGTGAGCAGAGA